TAGATTTTTCACAGTAGCTGAATAAGGTATGACAGCATTATTAAAATTTACAGGTGGCAGTGAATTAAAATCCAATGTAGATAAGCGACGGCTACTTCCAACTATAATTGCCTGGCACTTGGTAGGGTTAACAGTAATACCGAATTTGCTAGACCAATCAGAGATACGAGTGAGGTCAGAGTTTAGCTCTGTGATCGCATCTTCGATATCGTTAACATCAGACTGAGCATATTTTTGTAATTCATCGGCTTAGAGATGGTACGTGCAGCGAATGTGAGATGTAATGAGATTTATAAAAATTGAAAACAAAAGAGGTGAGAGAATTCCGCCTTGAGGAACGCCGGCAACCAGCGTGCACCAGTCCGAAATAACTGGACCCACGCGAACAGCCTGCTGACGTCCCTGAAGATAGGATGCGAACCATTCCCGCGCTGATGAGGAGAAACCAATGTGAGAAAGTATTGTAAGAAGGATGTCATGATCAACAGCATTAAAAGCGTTTGAGAAATCTATTAAAACTAACACAGTTAATTTTGACTCCTCCATACCTATACGTAAATCTTCCGTAACTTTAAGTAGGGCTGTTGTTGTACTATGTCCTGGCCTGAAACCTGATTGATAGCTACTTAAAAAGTTATTTTTAAAAACGTAGTCAGAAATTTGTCTGTGAGCAACAGCTTCAAGTACTTTTGATAAAAAAGGAAGAATAGAGATAGGACGAAAGTGAGAAACAGAACTAGGATTATTTATTTTTGGAAGTGGGAGAACAAAAGCATTTCGCCATAGTGAAGGGAAAACCCCAGTATCTAATGAAAAATTTACTATGTGGGTAAGTACTGGTAAGACATAATCGAGGATGAGATTGATCATGATTCTGCTCACATCATCAGAGCCTACTGCGGCGGACTTGATGGAAGAAATTGACTTTTTTATATCCTCATCAGTAACGGGAGAAAAATTGAAAGAGCTTTTGTAAAATTTTGGAAGAGAATTAACATGGGCAATATTAGTAGATTTAATTGACGAATGCAGTTGTGGTGCAGTAGAAAAGTATATATTAAGTTGATTAACAGAGATTATTGAAGGATCAAAGTTAGAAACAGGTTTACCTATCCCGATTGATTTTAAAAATTTCCACGAATCAGCCATAGAAGCGTTAAGGATATTTCGATGAATATAACGGCGTTTAGCGGCCCGCACCATCTGATTACACCGATTCCTAGCGGCTTTGAATCGAGTCCAGTTAACAGTACACCGATTACTCTTATATTTACTAAATTCTCGATCACGCTTTGCCATCGCCCTGCGGATATCCTCAGTAATCCACGGCGCAGGAGATCGTTTCAGTCTGACTTTATGTGGAGGAGCGTGTTTATCAAACAACTTCTGTATATTTGAATTAAAAAGAGCTACTTTTTCGTCAACACTCTCTACGCTGTAAGTATCACTCCAATCTATACTACAAGCATCTTGCTGAAGTTCTTCAACATTAAGTCTCGCTAGATTACGCAGATGCACCATCACATGATTGACCTTAGGACATTTAATCCTATAAGAAATATACAGTAAATCGTGCCGCGAAAACCCAGGGACGGAGAGTTGACCATGGCCAACGACATGGTCTTCAGAAGCGACCACTATTAAATCTATTAAAGAATCAGCAGTATCGAGATTGTGGTGTGTGGGGTCGAGAGGAAGAACTGACAAATTAAAGGAGTTCATAACTGTATACAATTCACGTGACCTCGCAGAGTTACAAAGAATATCGGTATTGAAGTCTCCCATTATAATAAAGTGCTGATAATCAGAGCCGATAGAAAAAAGAGCCGATTCAAGGTCACAAAAATAATTAACTCTGGTCTGGAACTGGACAGTAAATTGCACCGAGAACAGTCTTAGTCCCACTGATGGTAATCTCCAAGAACATGTATTCTATTGTACCAGAATAAACAGAAGAAGAAGCACATAATTGTTTATAGGGTATTACCATTACGTAAGTACACCGCTACACCCCCACCTCTTTTGCCCGTACGATCATTTCTTAAGAGGACAAAACCAGGTATTCCAAAGGAGGTAGACGGTAAGGTAGGTTTTAACCAGCTTTCCGAAACAAGTATCGCAGAAATAGACTGATTATGAAAAGTATCAACAAGTTCATTATAATGTTGCGGAATGCTCTGAGCGTTAATGTAACAAACGTTAAAGTTATTAGTCAAACCATGAAACTTTTGAGTAAGCAGATAACGAAGAGTAGTAGGTTCCGAAAAAGAGTGTCATTTAGTGAAAAAAAGAAGAATCTGAATCAACAGAGAGAAATAGTCCATTGGTATCAGAATCTGTCATAACATATGATTATACCTATGATATATGTATATATATTATTTATATAAAGTATATATATATATAGTCTAAAAAAATAGAAAAAAACCCTATTAACTGATATTTGCACTGCAAACAAACGCGCCGGTAAACTGTTTACAAAAAGAAAAATTAAAATATTACACGAAAACAACTAGTAATACTTACTACAAGAAAGTATCTAATTTTAATTATTTACAATTGCAGAGACAACAAAAATCATACGTATTGAAAAAAAGGAAAAAAAAACATATGTTAATCACTACGAGAAGTGGTAATTTAAACGAAAAAAAAATACTCTAAAGCGTAATTTCACGAAATTTAAGGTTCAGATTAGTCTGTACTATTACTTGTGTCGCAAACCAGCCTAGTAACCGGTTGCGGAGAACAAAAGGATCGAATACAAAAGCGCTCAGTGACGTACACAGTACACACAGCAGTAGTAGTAATTAATAAGCCGTCGAAGTGTAAACAAAGTATTACCACTAACCCGAGAATGTTTACTTATTTCTGAATGCTCGTCGGGTTCTTGGCTGCTCGCTACGGGAAACTACACTACTAGTTCCTGCCTTCACTTGCTCCGGCTCCTCGTTGCACCCAGCTTTATGAAGATCGCGCAGTAGTGCATCCAGGTCATTAGCGCTAAAGATGTGACGTCGAGACCCGTCAGGCAGTCTAACGCTTATGTTGCCCTCGAATGACCAGACTTTTTTAATTCCAAAATGCTTACGGGCTTGAAGAAATAAGTCTTGCCTGTATTTTGTAAGGAATTCCGATAATTTAAACGAGGTGCCTTTTAACATTGTTTTTTTAAACCAAACAGTTGAGCGCAGTGACATATCTGTGAAGCGCATTAATATAGGACGAGTATGGTGTAATTTGACCGGGCCAAGTCTGTATGCTGCTCGAAGACAAGATGGTGCTATATCTTTAAGACCTAGATTTTCGTGAAAAATTTTGATCACGACATCGGATAAATCTTCGCCTGGTTTTTCAGGGACACCGCCCATTAAAAGGAATTTCCTGCGATGCCTTGTTTCTATAATGTCAAGCGAGCGACTGACTTCTGCGATTTGCTGACGAAGAAGGTTAAACATATCCTTGACGTAACTCTGAAAAGCGGTATAGTCCTCGCTGATCCTGTCTACATTGCTACTCTTGGAAGCGCTGGAGTTGAGTTTTGATTCAAAATCTGCCATTTTACGAGTGATGAGCGCTTCCAAAGACTCCTGACTTCTGGAAATATCGGCAATTGTGGACATAGTGACGTATGTAGCAACAAATGTTCGTGTGTAAAAAACTTGGTTCCAGCAGTTTGTGCAGTGCTAAAAACTAGTGCATAAGAAGGTAAACCTTTACGCGTTGATGCTTAATACTGTATTATATAGAAAAATAATAAAAGTATTGTTAATTACTAGGTACTTTTTTAAAATAAATACGTTTTACGAAACGAAACACGTCTGCACTTATTTACACCCACCCGCGGAAAAGATCATGATTGATGGTATCAAACGTGGAGCTCAGATCAAGAAAGAGTGCAGCCATCTTAAATTTGTTATTTAATTTGTCAATGACATCATTGAGCAGTGTGTCTATTGCATCCTGTGTGCCGATGTTGTTTTGATAACCAAATTGTCCTCTATCAATAACCTTGTTTAAGACAAGATGAGTCATCAATCTAGATTTAATTACGCGTTCGAATATTTTGGAAATTGTGGGTAATAAAGATATAGGTCTGTACATCTTGGCATCCGATATCGAGCCCTTCTTGTGAACAGGTACGACTTTGGCAACTTTCAGTTGATCTGGGAAAATGCCTTTGTCCTTTATGAACTTATTAAATAAAGAACACAATCGTTGAGCGAGAAGATTTATATTATCCTTTATTATAGTAATAGGAATATCATCAAAACCGCAAGATTTTTTGTGTGATCTTTCGTACTTCTTCGACAGATGGTGGTCAGGAAAGGTAGTGTCATAACGTTTTCGACTCCATTTATATTACATTTAAGGTATGTTAGTGCAATCTCAATATCAACTGGAACATTACTGATACTATGATCGAACTGGTGAACAAAGGTATCAGCAATTTGAACTGGTTCGCGAATAATATTTTTGTCTACCTTTAGCATTAGTTGTGTTTATATTTTTCCCGCTAGGTTTCTATGGCTGTTAATGAGGTTCCTTACACTTTTGAATAAATTTTTGGAACGAGCGATCTCATTTTGAACTGCGTATTTTTTTTGTTAGTCTAATTATTTTCCTGTAAATTCTAATATATTCGTTATATTACCTGACGATGGTTTCGTCATTATGAGATCCTTTACTTGTGCAAAGAAACCGTTTCATTTGGCTTGATACTTTTATTCCTTTGGTAATCCATCGCAAATTTGATTTCTTGTTAGTATTTACTATTTTATTTTTATTCTTAAAACAGTCATCAAATAAGGCTTTGAATTTGCTTAGAAATGTGTTTATACCCATTGAGTTCCAATCACAATTAATTAAATTCTGTCTAAAGACAGATTTATTATTTTTTAATTGTAATTTTAATATTAGATTGTAATTTTAATAAATTGTTGTCATTACAGCCGGCTAAGATCACCAAATAGTCCGAATCAGTGAAATCTTTACAAAGCTGATCACAAGATTAGTATTTGGTCAATATGCGCGTTAGCTTTTAAGTACACGAAATACTCATTTCCTAAAATTTCTTGCAATTTTTTCCTTAACCCCTGGCCAGATTGATCCGCAATAATTACTACTCGATTCTTTCGTCTCGACATATCGCAGTAGGGTTTTACTTCTTCACCGCAGGGAAGGTCACTATCACTATCTATCATTGGTGTGCAGCAATTTCGGCATCCCTTGGTAGGTGTTCCGTTACAGTCCATGATTGCTAATTCATCAAGATGCTCTTTCTTCATCATAGTGGATTTGAGGGAACTATAGTCGAAGTTCTTAAATGTTATAGTCCCTTTTAGGGGTCGGATAGGGGTGTCTGTTATAATGTTTTCTGATCTGTGTTTCTTGTACTGCGGAGAATACAATTTTAAAGGTGTGCATGTTGTGGATCTTCTTAGGTCTTGTATTCCGACAGATTTTAATAAATATATTTTCCTCTCGTAGTCTAATATTTTTTTGTTCAGTCTTCCATTTTCAAGATTTAAATTTTCTAATTCAGCGTTGGCAATATTTAATTCCGTATTTAACCTTTCTATTGTACATTTCAGGTCGGATAGTTCTAAGCTGTCTGTGTATCCAACATTAGGCATACTTTGATAAGAATTATCAAGAAACGATTCATCATTTGATACAGTCGTTTCAGTTCTAATTCTAAGCTTGTTCCTATGTGTAATGTTGTTGTAGATTTCATCCATTATATAGAGAAAAAAAATTATTAAGTAAAATTTTATTAGTTAGCGCCCTCTAGCGTCATGAGAGTAGATAATATGCTCGTTAAGTTAGAGGTTCAGTAAACACCAAATTCAATCAATATGTTTCATGCTTACTTCCCAGTCTTCTCATGTTCAGACACTAAATGTCGTTGGTCGTCGTATTGTGATTATAATTATTTACTGCACTCAGCTGATCAGGGTCCAAAGTCCACATAAATGATTTTGCATATTATGGTAGTATCCGTTATGTTAATTTAAAAAGTGAGCACTGGGTGGGTCGTGTTTACACTAATAAATTTATTAAAGTATTTTTTGCACTGTTCTTTGGCTGTCGGTATGTTTTACAATAGAAAACTTCGCTTGGATATGGAAAGTATTGGCGTTTCTATTTTTCAGTCCATTTGTACACTATACTTGAGAAATCATGTCACAAAAACTGTCTCTTGTTCATAATGTTAACTAGGTTCAGTTTCACACACTTTTAACGCTTACTATTATTGTTTACTACTTTTTAACCTTATTTATTACGGAGTGCTTGTTTATACGAAATAATACCTATATACTATCCCTATATATTTCCTATATATAGATATTGATAGTAATCTTAAAATTGCTTCGGGAAAAATTCTAAATTTGAGAATAAATATGTACAATAGCCTGGAATCAAGCCACTTTACTTATCAAAGAGGGATGCCCACTGTTCATAGACACTTCGGCCATGGGTGCCCACATATAAAAGCATATGGAAATGATAATATGCAATTAAAATAATGAAATGGTTAAGGAATTGGTTTAAAAAAAGTCGGGATTTTTATGATATAAAGCTTTTTATTTTCACAAATACAGCTTTTTAGTCGTCGTAGTAAGTAGTCGTCTACTTTTACCAATTTTATTGCTTTTAATTTCTTTAACTTTTAATTCCCGACGCGTGATTTTTCTTTTGGAGGCCTATGCCAAAAGGCACACCGAACAGAGGGACTTACTTTAACTAGTATTACAATAGGAACTCAAACACAAATATTATGTAACCCCAAAGTTCGGAAATAAATGGCTATATTATTATTATACTATTATTATTAATTCCTGACGTTTCAGGTGCTTTATAGCACCCATGGTCACGGGGTACAGAGGTGACTGCCATCCCAATGTCAGTATTGGGACATGGAGTACCTTCAGCTTTTTATTATTATTTTTATAGTCCAATCTACGCAGATTGAACTTACTCTATCTTTAAGTCTTGCAGTGGTATGCTTGGGGTTTGTTTTAATTTTATTAATTATAGTGTCCCAAGCAGGTGGCAGTACCCAACCGCCTTCTCTACTGAAATTAGGATGTTTTTTAATTTCAGTAGCCTCACATATCATCCTTGGTAGGAATTAATGTTCTTTAATCAGGATTTGTGGTCTATCAAATCTGATGTATGTCTATCTGGTTGGGGTGACACCCTTGACATACGGTTGTACAGCAGGCACACGCTCAACTGCGGTCGGCTTCACTCGGTCACTGTGACGAAGACGTGGGACCCGAAGCTTGATTTTGTGCAGAACCTGCTTGACGTGCTGAAGCTCCGCGGCCAGGTGCTTGTTCTCACAGATCCCATATGCTCTCTGTAACAAAGATTTGCTCATGGTAACTAACTGTGAAGGATTATGGTGAGATTCACCGCTTAAATATCAGTTTGTATGGGTCTTTTTTCTATACACAGTGTGATGTTGTTAGGATTTTGGATAACAAAAACATCTAGGAAAGCTAAGAAATTATTTGCCTCAGATATAATATCATAATTACTGAATAGAATTTGGCACAGAGAGTGGTAACGATGGATAAAATTCATAGGAACAACATCCTGATTTAATATTTCTTGGGCCATATTCATGAGCCGCTCTAATTTGTTTCTTGGTACTTGCAATAATGCCTATATGCATTCATCACTATCTCCTGTTCTTACTTTTATTAAATATACAGCAAGTGCAAAGCATCCACTATGTTTACTTGACATTTTGGGCACTTCAGACAGAATTTATTGGCATTGTGCCTTTGATAAGCGTAGATAATAATGTACAGTATATTCGGGCATATTGTAAATATTTTCAAAGTCTATATGATGGTAAATATTATCTTACAATAATGTAGAAAAATCTATAATTTGTGCTACATTAAATGTTTTAATATGGTTATATATTAATTCTAAAAGTAAATACCAAGAGTTACTATTTAAATGGTAGTTACTGATTCTACATTCTGGAGGTACATAGTAATTGTATTCACAAAAATACATACCCGCAATGCTGATGGAACAGTGAGTTGATTGGAATTGTTACAACTGCTGCTTTATCAATCCTTCGCATTCATGACACTCACGCGATGACGATGGCAACTGAAATAATATTAAATAAAAAAAATAAGACAAAGTGAACAAAATAAAATAGATTTGTTTACTTTAAACTCAAATATAGGTAAATGTTACTTAAAACTTAATGCCCTATATTATTTAATAATTAAGGACTGACTGCCTACCAGTAGTCCAAAAACAATTAAAAATCAACTGTCTTATTTCTTGGTATTTGATAAAAATTGTCCATTTCGTAACTATCTGGTGTTAGCTAGCTAATCTTATAGCCGTGTTACAAATAAGCTATTTTGTTTGTCAGGTATAGCTTGTGCATATGTTAAAAAATAAAACAACTTCATCATTTCATACATTCATCACTATCAAATATCAGCACTAGAATTAATAAATTAAAAACTGTTGAACACTTACTTTTAACTGTTGTCACACTATAATGTGATCGACAATCTCACTCTATATGAGTTCTTGAGAATTTATTTGAAAAATAATAAACAAAATAACACAATAGCAACTATTTAGTTGTGAATTCACCAGTACCTTTTTACTTGTTGAATTGTGATTTCATTTCGCATGACATATTTCCTATAGATGTCAGATTTGATGTTGCCACATAACTAACATAAATACAACGAAACGATATCGATTTGTATTCGATTAGTAATTTAATGAAAAAATAATAATATTTGAGTTTCGCTTTCAGTTCTACACGCTTTTTAAAATATATTTTCTTTTTTTTTTTTAAATTATGTTTTAAAGGTATTTTTAAGAACAGTTAAAATGTGGAGTAGTGTATTGTTATGCTCTAAACAGTTCATGGTAAATCAGCTAAAAATTCACTTGTTTAATTATGATAACATGATTCCATTTTAAATGTATTGTTAAAACAGATAACAATAACAGTTAAATTATGCAGTAGCATTTTATTGTACTCTAAAGAATTCATAGTAAATCATCTAGTAATTCGCTTGTTTAATTATCATAACATCATAATATCCATAGCGATTCGATTATTATTCGATTAATAATTTCATAAAAAGAGAATAATCTTGGAGGTGTTTTAACTTCTGCTCGCTTTTTAAAATGTATCTTCCTTTTTTATTTAAATTCTCTTTTAAGTGTATTTTTAAGAACAGTTAATTGTGCAGTAGTGGTTTATGAAGCTCTAAAAAATTCATGGTATATCAGCTAGAAATTCACTTGTTTAATTATCGTAACATGATTTCATTTTAAATGTATTGTTAAGAAAAGATAAGAATAACAGTTATATTGTGCAGTAGCGTTATGTTATACTGCATAGAATTCATTGTAAATCAGCTATTAAATCGCTTATTTAATTATCATAACTACAGATGTGAAGGCGGTTGTTAACGTTTTCAACCAAGCCGATAACAACGGTTGTTTTTGTCTTGAAATTGATAAAAATTGTGCAGTTGCGTTTTGTTAAGCTTTAACCTTTTGAGCGCCACGCCAAAAACGCATTACCGTGTTCTGTACGCCAAAGCGCCAAAACAAAATAGTGTTGCCAAGAGTTGATATATCGATAACGTAAAATAACTTGTTTTTGTTGTTTTTTTATGCTATAAATGACTCTTAATAAACTGTATGTTTTATTTAATTTTGTGCTGTCTTCCACTCTTTTTATATATGTACTTTGTACATATAAACATAAATAAAAAACAAACAATAACAATAAAATAGTAGTATACATTAGCACTACTCTCCATCCTAATGACGACACTGTCGCGACTGGACGACAACGGCGTAGCTGACCTTCCCTTTTGAAACATTCTTAGAATGTTGTGTATTGATTTCAAAATCGATCTAACCGAAATATACAGACATCGATTCATAATATTTTATGTGTCGGGGAAGGCGTAGGCCAAGTGACGCACAGAAGAAAAGTCTTACACTCTTATGACAATGGGGATTTGATATGATGCTGATGCTGCTAGATGATTTTGAGACTGAGAAAGAAAATGGCACAACAAAAAATGAAAAATTGCTCTTCACACCCTAAGTAAAAAAAAATTATTGTAATTTTGTATTATTATTAAAAAGGTACATAATTATTCATTAATCAACAATTGTATATAATTATTCGCACTAGGTAAATCAGCCTTATAATACTAAAATCTTGGTCATGGAATAAATAAACATATTTGTTCACCAATCAATCAAAAATTCAATTCATCAATCAAAAATCAAAATTCATCATCATCGACGCTTTCCAAAATCCGAATGAGTTCTGAGGAATCGTTCATGTTGCATTGCTTTACTTTTCTCGGTAATCACTTATGACGTCATTAGGGTGTCGTCTATCCTTGATCACGGTGCCCAGTGAACTGATTTTCGATGACGCGCTAAAGATGCGCTAGAGTTGAGATATTAGATTTATTATGCGAAGATAATCTGATAACATTTTTTTATTCATGTAGCTAATTATAGTTTTATAACCTGTGTTTATAACCTTTAATTTTATTCAAATATCAATAATAATAGAAAGAAAAACACCATTGAGCTGAATTTTGGATAGTTTTCAAGAAATCTATGCCTCCCGCGTTTGACACTAGCGGTCAACCATAGACGACTTTGGCGTGCTGGACATAGTATTTGCTTAGATAAAAATCCATTT